TACTTTCAGCACTCGGCACTTCTTCCATGTGTTTCATCTCTTTGTATTCATTAATTGCTTTAGTATATTCCCTTTTCAGGTCCTCACTTTTCATGAAACGTCTTTCCAAGTGACATAATCTACTCAGAGCCCCTTCCTTTGTATTGCCATGTGGTGCTTGTGGGTTATTCGTTTTAAATGGCAGTTTGACTATGTAACGCCCTTCACTATTTCGCGTGTATGTATCTTCATAAATTCTCTCGCAGTCTTCTTCTTCTTTGCTAAGTCTTCCTTGTGTATCTGTTTCAACCTCCCACATAGATTTCAACAGTTCATCGATATCAAGCTTATGATGCATCACGAGTATTGAGTTTTCTGATGTTTGTGCTTGTATTCTTCCAAATAAGATCCAACCTAAGCTTGTATTTTGGGCACATGGAGAGCCAGGTGGACCTTTGATTATTTCAGCTTTTAAAATCTGAGCACAAACCTCTACGCCTAGCAGCATGTCTACTCGCCCTGGTGAATGAAAACTCGGGTCTGCCAGGGTGAGTCCTTTTAAGTGCGGCCAGGTGTTCGTTGAACCATTAAACCTTTCTGATGGCAAATGTGATGTCAGTCGTGTCGGCATCACATAAGCATTGATGCTAAGCTGGAAGTTACTCTGACACGTCGAACGAAGCTCGACCCTTATGACGTGATTGACAGTTGTTTGCGCTGCTCCGACGCCAGTAATAGTTCCCTTTATTCGAGTTCTCTTAGCCTTTAATAACTGTGCAGCTCGCTCACTTATAAAGTTTGCTTGAGAGCCCTGATCAACTAGCGCTCGCAGCACCGTATTGTGTCCGTCTTCACCGGTCACTTGCACTAATGCAGTTGCAAGCAACACTGTCGATCTCTCTGACACAAAGTGCGTAGTTAGTGCTACCTCAGGATTGTCACTGTCAGCCTTCTTCTTTGGTACGACCTCTATTTGACATTGATTCATTTCCACATTGTTTGACTGACCGCTGTTGGGTTGATGTAGCAATGTATGATGGCGGCGGTTGCATCTTCGGCAGGACATTCGATTCCGGCATTTTTTCACAGAATGTCCTGATGTCAAACAATTGAAGCATAACCTGTTTTTCTTAACAAACTCATTGCGTTCCTGAGGTTGTAACTTACTAAATTCTTTGCAATGAAACAAGGGGTGCTCCGCGTTACACATACTGCATGACCTTGTCGGTGATTTATCCGTCTTCTCTTCCGGTGATGTGGAATGGAATGACTTCGCCTTAATAGTTGTCTGCTCCTTTTTAGTTGTAGGGTTAACCATCTCCAGTGTCCGATATTTTGTTTCCAGGAAAGTTTTAAGTTCTTCCCAAGTTGAGAGTTTGTCTGAGTTTTCCTTGTAAGAATCTTCTTCCCATGCTGTGTGCGTATCAACATCTAACTTTTGTACAACTGTGTAAATTATTATCTGATCCCAGTACTCGACAGGTATTTCTTGATTTTTCAGATTATTTAAGCACTGAGAGGTGGTATCTAACAAATTCTTGATTTGCACAGCTGATGGAGAGGTCATTTTCTTTTGAGTAAATAATTTATTGAGTAGAGTATAAACTATTAAACGTTTGTTTCCATACCTTTGGACAAGTGCATTCCATGCCTGTTCATAATTATCCTCGGTGATAGTGATATGTTTCAATAATTCTTTAGGTTCACCAACAAGGCTCAACTTCAGGTAATGTAACCTCTCAACTTTACATAAAGACGTGTTGTTATGTACCAGCGATGTGAACATATCTCGAAACATAGGCCAATTATCATAGCTTCCGTTAAATGTAGGTAACTCGATGCGTGGTAATTTAACACGTGGTGGCGTCAAACCATCAAAAGATTGACTCTGACTCTGAGTGTCTGATGACTTCGAAGATATCGAAAGCATATCCCTTAAATCGCCTATTAAACAAGAGTATAAATCTTCAACCACAAAGTAATCTTCGTTTTCAAAATATTGAAGTTCATTTCGTTTGGTCTTAGGTGTACATTTCACTAAATCTTGATGTGTCTTATTAAACGTTCGCCAATATTCTTCAATAGTTTGTAGTTTGGTTTCAATATAACCTCTTGTTAATCTTTGCTTTGGACATTTCTTCAAATTTCCTTGCGTCTTTTGTAATAGTAAAAAAATATCTTCTAACGAGTTTATTAATTTTTGTTGTTCACTGGTTAACGTAACACTCATTGTTATGTTTTTCAATTCAAATGTTCTGATGATATTTTATAGCACTCACAATAAGGTTAATGCCTAATGTTTATTTTAATGTCCGTCTATTGAGATGTAGCTTCTAATATGTTCTTGATACCATAGTTTTAAAACACACACGTTTTTAACTTCAATCACTTGTTTACTATAAATTACTGTGATGACTTGCGAAAAAAATGCACATAAAAAACCAGCTCAGGCAAGCGGCTTTTGTTCTCCGATCGCCGGGTCGTCCTTATCTATTTTTCTAGTAATCCGGCTCGTTTGGACCATATGTTCATTTGATTAAGGTTGTGATTTGATTATAGGACTTCTTAGAAATTAACACACGTCTTTGCAGTATGATGGTTTATTCGGTACTACTCTAATGAACAAGACAGATGATCAACGATTTATAGCAAACACTGACTCTTACAAACTAAAAATTACGCCGTCCCAGTAAACCGTTGGGTTGTCTGGCTCCTAGTATGGATGCTCATGACAATATTAACTTTTCAAATGAAGGAAAAAAAATATTAAAATATCGTTCCAGGTGCGACATCACTGGACTCAAGATGGTTTTAAGTCATCTATTTGCAGAAAAGGCGCTATAAGGATTTTTTTTATCACGGCACAATAATTTACTTACTTATAAATTTAAACTTAGCTACACAGACTTAAATTTGACTTCTCCTGCTTTTAAAGGAACCTTCAATCCTAAAAGTAGGTACATACCAACCTACATTCCTTCCTACTGCATCATGTAACTTGCTATATTTTTCTTTTTAGAGTGAAAAACTCATAGAATCCGTATACGCTATGGACTGGCTGGAAATACCAACTGAGTATAGACGTGCTATTATTATTTTTATGGAGAGAATAAAGCGTTCCATAAACCTCGTGGCGGGTGACCTAATACCGCTTTCTAACAGCACTTTTGTTTCGGTAAGTAAAGGAAAATATCTAGGAAATCTTACTACCGTAAGGAAATCCTGTATCTAGGTAGGTGGCTAGAACTATTCCGAGAGAAGTCATTCGATGTTTTTCCCCCTTAAAAGAAAAACTGCTCCAAATGACTTCAAGAGAGAAACAATGATAAAAAAAGCAGTGCTTAAGTTGAAGTTTTATAGTGTAACTTACTTACATTAATCTCCTCCAATCTGCTTTGTTAGTCTGGTAGTCTGTTTACTTTTTATCTTATTATCTTGTTATTTACTGTACCTACCAAGGTACAAATTTCATTTAAATTAGGTATGTACTTACTTACCTGAGTATTTGCAAATTTTTTATTTTTTTATTTTAGGTGCTGAGAAGTTCGTACACGTTTTATGCGTTTTTGAAAAACACAAATTAAAATAACACAAGGACCTAACTAGGTACTTATTATTAGCGAATAATACTAATTATTCGCTAATAATAAGTACAATTAACTAAGTTTAAATCAAAAGTCACAATAATATTAGAATTATATTTTTTTTTCCTATTAATAGTCGTAAAAATAATACTGAATAGATTCTTATCTAATGTAAGTATAATTTAGATTGTAATATTTTAATAGCAGAGACGTTGATTGAATACTAAACTTCGCATCGTTACAAAATCATTTCTATTTTTTTTTAAACTCAAAAGCCACATATTCAAAAACAAAAAAGTTAATTTTGACGTTTAATTCGTGACGTCACATACTAGGACTGTGAAGTTCGAACGCATTGGTGCAAAACTGATATCGATAGTTTTTTAATTTACTTTAATTACCTAACGTATGTACCTTTAGATTGGCAACTTTGGCAAGTCCTTAAAAGTTTAACAATCTACAATAATGAAGTTAGATCAGAGACTCACCCGTGTGTTATGTAGTAGCGTGGCACTGTGGTACCAATCAACCGCAAATATACAAAATGCGACTTTAACCATGGACTGCAAAACGATAGGATTCTGGTCTATACTTATGAGAATATTATTATATTTTCGCTAATAGTCATACAAAAATATTTACAACATTACTCTTACCTCCCATTACAGTAAAGATAATGGAACGCTAAATGAAAATAAATTAGGATTGAAAACTGCATTTGCCTGATCCGACAGAGAACTAAAGTTATTGACATAGCCCAAAGAATTAGTTTCTAGTAATTACTCTCTAGTGGCAGTGGGCCAATCACATTTGTTGAACAACCGATAAATAACAGTTGGATAGGTAACCGTTCTAGAGTGGAGCCCGCATCTAGGCAAACGTAGTATAGGGCGCCCTCCAGCTTGGGAAGTGACGGAATCCGCAAGATAACTGGCAGAGGATGGATGAGAAGAACTGAACACCGAGCTCAATGGCGTGCCATTGGAGAGGCCTATCGAGTGTCATGCCCATTCTTGTCCATAAGACTACACCTTGGAATGAGCAAAAACTTTAGGTGACTTTCAGAAGTGTCTTTTTGGTCTAATTGAAGTAAAAGATTTTGACTTTTTTGATTTTTTATGGCCACGATGAGCTGATGATGATGATAATGACCTCATTTGCCTTACCTATGTGAATATGGTTTTGGATATATATAAATATTTATTTTTACAATAAATAGATAATGTATTATCGATATTTATGTTATCAACTGTAGACTATGGCAATCCCTATTAGATTTGGATGACAGGTATGGTATGACAGTTGACAGTACTCCATTTTGACAATTCATTCTTACTTATTGACGTTGTTGATTGTCTTCTCTCTTCTGACGAAAGCGTGTTGTGCTAAAATAATAGGATTCTTATTAGTGCAAAAATACAGGACCATTAAGTAAAAATGTTTCGTCATTTTCTTGCATTTCTGTTAATAAATTCGTGTTATCAAAGTTTGGGTAACCCGATCGATCCCGTTGTTTCTACAAAACAGTTATTATCAAGTTCACTCGCGACGCTAGCATCCAAATGCGAAAATACTATTCTAAGCAATCAAATAGCAAGCAAAATAAAAGATTGTAATATAATCGTGCCGCCTTATAAGAAAAAACAATTTCAATGTTTAATATTCCTTGACATAAGTACGCAATTATGCTCAGCAAAAGTAGTGGTAAACGAAGAATCTCTAGCCAAAGTGAATGAGAAACAGGATGTAAACGCTGTTTGCGCACTGGCTAAAGAGTGGGTTTTTACAAATGTGTCAGAGTTTGTGAACTACAAGGAATCTGCTGAGAAGTACTTCAAGCTCCCTGCTACTTGTGGAGAGGTATGTGGGGAAGAGGACACAATGAACGATGCCAACTACTATTGTAAATATTACAAATGGGGCTTGGAACAGTTGAAGGTTCAAGTTGAGTCTACAGTGGCAAATAATGCAAACAATAATGCAGTTGCACCACCAGCTGTTTCAGAGCAAGATGTGAGTGCAAAGGCTGATGTGCCTGCACCTGCTAGTAACCCAATTAACCAGGAAGTGGAAACGAAAACATGGAATGGACAGATAAAGCAGACTGACCCAGCAGTAAGTAAGTCAACTCAAAAGATTGAAGTTGCAAGCTCTGACATTGAGGTTGTGAAGCCTGAGACTGTAGCTAGTAATGATCCTTCTAAGCAATCATTGAACAGTGAGATTGCAGACAGTGTACCAAAGAATGAAGAATCAGATCCCAATGTGGACAGAATGGAGGATCCTGTTATAGCCCCACCAGAGAATATCATTCCCAGTAACAACAGTTCCACCAAAACAGTTGTAGTTAGTGAAGAGAAACCTGTCCTCGCAAATGATCCGTCCCTTCCCGATACTAGTAAAAATCTGCCTGTCAGCGATAAGAAACCTGATGCTGTACTTGAAAACCCAAAAGCAAAACCTGTGCCTGATACGGATGAGTATGCAGGTTAGTCCATGTTTACTTTTAAATTTTTGTCTACTGGCCAATGTCAACACCTCTGTTTCTAGATTTAGCTGCTAATGGTTAAATATTGATGAAAATTCTGAAGAAAATATGTTTAATTTTGTTAAAGCTTGCACAATTTGTTGTGGTCCAGAGGTTTAACACGCCAGCTTCGGGGTTCGAAACTAACCAACAGCTTTGCGAAGGCAACCAAATGTGACTTTTTCCGAGTCATATGTACTTTATAAGGTTATGTAGATACCACTGACAAACAGTGATGGGATATATTGTGATAGAACCTGGACTTCTAATTTCTTTTTATAAGTTTGAAATTGCCATCCCGCATTGAGCAAGCATGGTGATGAATGTTCAAACATTCTCCGAGCAGGAAAGAAGAGTATTTTGCTTAGTAGTGGGTTACTTAATAGGTATGTTGTTGAAACTGGCCGAAAGTAATAGTTGTACTTTGTGGGTAGGTAGTTATAGGTTAGTGAATTAGGTAGTTAACTAAGTATGTTGATTGAAATTATTTTATTGCTGTTTTAATTAGCTATGGTGTAATAAGAAACAACTACATACATAAAATTTAATTATTTTTCATGAAGGCCACGAATTTGATTGTTATCAATTAAAAAGAATTCATTTTTGTCAAATGATTGATCTTTGATGTTTATCACTTTTGTACGAATTTTAATTTAACAATATGTATAGATAAACACATACTCGGCTTGTTCTGAAATATTTTTGGCGGGAATTAAAATTATTTTCAGTTCGTTATCTGAAATATTTAGAGAAGGGTGGTTGGATGGATACATTTTAGTGAAAGTGAAAGATAGAAAAAAAAATTCTTGTTGTATATTGTTTTATCAAACCTATAAACTAATGTAATGCTTCATTAGATACAAATCTTTAAAAAATATTCAGAACATATTTATTTGTGAAGATAACAATCATTATTTTAGGATAATCTTGTATTAATCATCAAATAATTAATTAATTTTTATAAAGATAAGGTTGTCTACCTATTCTTTACACTGAATATATGTCAGTGAGTAATAGATTATGCTAATACTTAATTTAGTGTACATTTTACAGCCCAAAATTATCTTTAAAATTTTCTTTACTTATTTTTACTTTACTTTAGTTTTTCTGTAATAGCAAGATGTATTCTTCTTATAAAAAATGAAGTTATCTATTCAATGTTTAGTACTCAATATAATACATGTTTTATAATTCTACAGACTCAGATGGCAATGACAATGTGGGCGATGAGGAAGCCGAAGATCCTGGTTTGGATATCAAGTCAGAACAAGACACAGGAAACCAGCAAACATTTATCAGAAACAAGATATTAGTGCCTGCTCATGAAGCTGAAAATTCACAAAAAGGTAACCAAAGTTTGGCTTAATTTGTTGATATATTGTACTGAATGAACCCATAGATGTTCATACAAAATTAGTCTCTACACATCGGAAATAAGGTCTATAATGGAGTTTGGGAAGAGCGGTCTTGGGTATATTTTTTATATGGATATAGAGACTGTCTGTGTTGTTTCTCTAAATGGCAACTTTACAAAGTGCCTTTTGAAATGAGTCAGGAAAATTTCAAACTGAGTCAGGATTTGTTATTTTTTCGTCGTTTTATAAATTTGTAATTACCTTAATAACGCGCAAAAACACCACTCAATTTTAAGTTGTAATTACATTGATACTCAAAAAAGTTATGATCTTATTTAACTCATTTTTAAAAATTACGAAACAAATTGCTATCATCATCTCAGGTGTAGGTATGTCGATGATCTCATGTCACGATACATTGAATCGTTGAATGGATTAGAACTTAGAAGTATTTATAAATAATTGGGATGAACCAAAACACAAGTGAAGGTAAAATCTACTAATAGAGTACATGATGATAACAACTGCCTAATAACTGTATAAATAATTCGTAACTTTAAACCTTGTACAAAATTTTGTAGAGGTCAAATGTGAAGGCTTTTTACATAGCTTTGTAGGTAGTAAACTAGAATTCAAAATAGAGGTTTATAGTTTTACACTTAAAACAATTGGCTGAGTAGCAAAAATACTAGTTAAGGTATTTTTTGTTCTGTGGCAGTGAGTTAACTAAAATTCATTTTAGGGTGACTCATTGCGAATAACATTGTGCAACTTAAATACAAGAAAACTTGTTCCACTTAATTTTTACTGCTTATGAGTCCCATGACCCATGTAAGAGGGGCTACATCCATTTTTATTACCATACAAGTTCATTACCGAGAATTAAAAAAACCCAATAGTTAATACCTACTTACTAATGATTAAATCTAGGTCTAGGAATAAACCTGACCTTTCGCTCCAGTTGCACTTTCATCTATTTGATATTCACAAAAACGATATTTCAATCTTTTAAATATTTATACAGTAAATTGCTACCGAGATAAGATTATTCATGTTTGTAGAACTATGTTTTTTAGTTGTGCAATCGACCACGCAGTGTCTATTATTTGTATAGATGGAATGGAAATCAATTCAATGATTATCATCTTGGCACAGAATTGTATTTGCAATTGAATTTGCATGTTTAATGATACTATTTTTTATTCATGTTAGTGCCTCTTTTGAGTGGTCTTAAGTATGCCAGTAAAGTATGAGCACATTTTTTTACATCCAATCTTTATAAGTTCAGTTAGTAAGTTATCTGTCAGTACTACTATAGAGGTAGATAGAATTATAAACTCATACTACATACAAAATGTATGCAGAATTCTATCTCTAGCAGCCAAAACTGCCGAGCGTACGGGGCGCATCGCGTACCGCGCGCGCCTCAAAGAGCCATCAGACCACCACAGATTGGGCCTAATAGGGCTGATGCCGATACAGAGCCGCGGAAGACTTAACGGGTTACCGGGGCTCCGGCTCGAAGGGCAACAGCAGGATCAGGGTGGTTTTTAGTCAATAAGAGTAACACCGCCGCACCTAGGCGGGAGAACTGATTCGATGATTTTTTCCCCTTAAAAAAAGTAGTCAAAACTACCAACTATGGAATGCAATACCGAGACCGAAACCGGGATCTCGCAGGCCATGTTCAGGATCAATCCCGTTCTTAAAATGGACGGGATGAAAATTATCAATCAGCCGGTATTACTGAGAATGTCAGTATTGACTGACATTCTCAGTAATACCGGCCAGACCATAACCCATTGTAATTTTGTAAATATTTGTGTCGTAGTTTAGTTAAGCAATTTAAAAACTAAACTATTCTACAATAGGTTTTGTTTTTTGAAAAGTCTTAAATAGTGCATTGTTATGGTGAGTCAACTATCTAATGATGTTATTGTAGTCTGCTTCGCATTTTTTGAATGCACAAAAAGATTCACATTTCATAGGTATTGTGATTTTCTTCGTATCCAACTAATAAATAACTTTATAAAATGCGAATGCTTGAGATGTTATATGGATGTGTGTACGTTTATAAGTTACTAGCAAACCCGGCGAACTCCGTTTCGCCACCAGATGGCTTCGTTTTATGTAACATTTCGTTTAGTGATTAGTCAATTTTCTTTGCTATAAACTTGATGGAGCCCGAGACTTTTCCAATGAATGCAAAACCGTGGATATCGGTTCGTGCGTTCTGGAGTTATAGCGTCAGGAAGGAAAACCCGGCTTATTTTTATATAGTAGATAACCATTTTATGCAAAACTACTGAATGAAGTTGGTTCAACTACAATCTATCTCGATTAAACTGAAATAATCCACAGGCAGCATTTTTCACCCTGATTCCTGCCAAGTTGTTGGCAGTTTTTTTTTTATAAAAAGTAACGTTTTATTTTATCTGTTCATTGTACTTACTAAATGTTTATTATTTCACTCTATGCTGAACTCCATGCACGACTCTACCCGTACATGTTTATTCAGGTGTTAATAATATAGTTGCGCAAATAGATTTATTTGTATGTTCTTACCTAGTCTATAGAGTTCTTTGCGTCGTTGAATATTATAAAATGTCTTTCATAACGGAAAGTCAGTTGAAAATTGTACACGGTGATATTAATGACTTTGAACTTGTTATTATTTTTTTAACCATATGGCCGCCCCTATTTGTATTTGTAGTTATTTTCTTTACATCACATGAACTATTGCATAACATTATAGACTTAACTTACCTACTACCTACGTATTGTTCAATTAGGTTTGGTTTTATATGACATGGCGATTTTATTCTAACAATCCATGATCTTTTTTTACTCTAGCGCCTTTACACAAAGCATTATGTTTCTCATTAGCTTAAAGGTCATTTGCAAACTTTCATCATCATTTTGTCAGTCTCAAGACTTCCACTGCTAAAAGTCAAAGTCAAAGCATTTTTTTTTGTTGTTACACACTGTGTCGTATGATGTATTTATTTCTCCTATCGCAGGGCAGGAAGGAATATCCTATAAGGGATATGCAGTACCTATGTACCTCTGTATTGTTATATCTATATATATATATATATATAAATGAAACCCGTTTCCCGTTGTCACGCCATAATTTGAGAACGGCTAGACCGATATGGCTCATATTTGTTTGTTGTGTTTCTTATTGTCCGGGGAAGGTTCTTATGATAGAAAACTGAAAATCCTACGGGAACGGGAGAAAACAGGATTCCGCGTACGAAGACGCGGGAGGAAGCTATACCTCTATATATATTTTTCTGTGTATTGTCTGTGTTGTGTACGTGATTAAATAAATAAATTTATTTTAATTATTTAAAGTCAAAGATTGAATTGCCCGTCCGTCTGTCTTTCAGTGAAGCTAGGCTAGTTAGGCTGAACTTGGTCTTTCCCAATATCTTCCAGATCATCTGCATCCTTACAAATATCTAAAATGTTTTTATTTCATTCGCCTGCCCCAATGTTTATTAGCTTGTTCCGATGATGATTAATTACAGACCGCATTTTGCAAATCATTTTAATACGTGTATTATTATGATTTTTCAGATTTCTTCCCTAATTCGATGCCCGATGGTTTCTCAGAAGAGGACAACGACCATTTCTTCCCGTTCTTCATGACGTCTGTTGTACTCATGGTCTTGCTGTACGTCCTGTACCATAACAAGAGCAAAGTTAGCAAAGTGGTAAGTTTGAACAGTTTTATTCAAAATTCAAGTAAAAATTATGCTTATATCTCGATCGAGTAATTTTTTTTTTGTAAAGGTGTATAAACTTAACAATAGTGAGCTAGTTTACTTTCTTGAGTATAATAATAGTCTGAGAATTACGGTCAGACTGCGGCTAAATTAGGATGAATTATAATTCAAGTAACGTAGGATCATGTGCGAAATATGCTTATAGGTTTTGGTTGACTAGTTTACTTCAGAGTGGTTCAGTTTTGTGCTTTATAGAATTGCTAATATAGGTACTCTACTATTTTGAGCAGGCATAAAACCCTTTTTCCTAAAGGGTTACCATTAACTTACAAATAATTTTTACATGTTGATTGATTGTGCTATTTGCAATTGTGCATGTGTAATACTTTAACCTCTTGTATGTCGGTATTTAAGACACTAGAAAACGCATTGTGTCTCGCGTAGATCTATGCTCCCACACACCGGAGGTTAATTTAGACAGAATATCTTACAAGTTTATTTTTTTGTTTTTCGAAATAGCCATGATTCAGTATTATTTAAGATATCTACATAATAGATATAGATTTATGCGGGGCACACCGCGATACTGGCCTCGCAATGTTCGCTCGGCTCAGCTGTTCATAATGAGTCACATCCTTATCTAGAGTATTAAAATTAACTGTCTGGTCTAACTTTACATGGAGACTGCACGTTATTGATTGTAAAGGTACATAGACATTTTAGCCAGAATAAATTTATAGGGTCAACTAATTAACAATGTGAATAACATTGCAGCGGTATTTAATTGTCCCAATAACATCAGTTGCCTCCCATTTACCTAATTTCTTATCAGTAGGTAAACGTGACAGTTACCGTCATATTTAAACAATAACAGTTTATATAATGGCTTAGGTATATAGAAATATTTGAACGGAAACAGTGTCTTTTCATTGCCAATCAAAAGTATTTTTTATTTTTTCCAGTTCTTCGGCTTAATACTGGAAGGACGACAAAGCAGTCGCCGTCGCAACAGCCGAGGTCATGCTTACCGCCGCTTGGACACCCTGGAACAAGCTATGAGCGCCAACACCGCTGCACCGCCCAGCAAGATCATATACTAAAACGCTTAACACTTAGGTAAATCAATCTTTCAGTACATCTACTCAAGGAGAGGTCTGACTGCAAACAAGCAAACAGTTTATTGCGTTTAAAAAAATTGGCGCGAAATTCAGTTGCTTGTGGCGGTGTTTAGTGGCGCCATGTTGAATTTTATTTAAACATGGAACGCGTGGATGCCTATGAAGTGGAAGCGAGTATGTGATATGCACCGTTATTTCCTTCTCGAAAGGGCATTGACTAAAATTGGTGCCTTTCTTTTTTCTGGCGGCAGTCGATGATTTATGGAAAATATTATCTAGAATGACATTACAAACGAAATTGTCTATGGGCTCATATATGGATTTCTCAGTCTGGACTGAGTTATGAGGGTTGAAAGGAGCTGGAGTCAAACATTTTACTTTGGTTTTTTTATTCAAATTATTCATATTTTTGTCACAATTCCTAACTTCAAATTGCGCGCCACTGTACACCTGGCATAGGCATACCATATCACACCACAATATATACATATTCCCAGGCACTAATTTTTATTAGCTATTTTCTCTCAGTCGATAACTTGTGAGATGCTTCTAAGAGTTGTGTCATGAAGCTTCATGAGTGTCAGCTGTGGTACCAGTGGTGGGTTGAGTAGTGGTAGCCGTCCAAACATCTAATAAAGTATTATTTTTTTTTGCCGTTGACTCCTGGTGGGAGACTCATCTACTTTATATTTAGCATAATCTTTGAAAAAAGGAAACCGTCGACTTTGTAAAGTGATGGACTATACGTCAGATGAGCGCATAATTTTTTCATATAATGTGATCAGTCGTAATATAATCCATCACTTTGTGACTGAATGCAGATAAGTGTATTCCCTGTAGTTGGATTAGTTACTAATCGGGAGTAAGTCGAGAGAAGTAGACAAAAAAATGATTTTTTTTTGTGTTTTGACGACTACCGCTACTCAACTAGCATACGCATCCGCTAACATAGCATTTCATGATAGGGCTCAGTAAAGTATTTTGCGGGTTTTCGACTGAGAGGAAATTGATCATGAAATCTGCCATAGGTCATAAGTCATAACTCATAAACCATAACATATAAAGTGAACACGTTAGCCAATTAAGCGAAATGTTTTTCTATTTACTTCAGCAGTGACCAATAAATGGTTCACTCTGATGGTCTGTAATTCTGAATCAATGGTTCTGATTCCTTGGCCTTATAACAAAAAAAAATATTAAAACAAAAAAAAAATAAGTAAAAAAGTCCACAACAAGCTTTAATAAATTCCTTGAAATCGTTTATAAACATTTATTTCAAAATATTTCTGACAAGTAAATGAAGAAAAATATATGTTGTGGACGGTCACCATGAACATTATATAGTACTATTTTCACATCTTTGAACTGATTTAACTCGGTTTGGACTGTGTTTTTGATATAAGACCCCATATATTTTTTTGTTTGTAATGTTATTCTGCATCAGTTTTTCCACATCCGATCAACTGCCGCGAAAAAATGAAAAGGCACCACGCTCCATACAAATTTGGTCATTGTCATTTCGAGCCAGTAAATTATTTAAATTAAATAAGTTTCTTTTAAAGAGCTTCTTTCATAATTATTTTCCATTTTAAAAAGTGGTGTAGTTAATTATTCGTTAATGTATGTATGTATATATTTAAATAAAGTTATCTAGTCTTGGTATTACCTTATTTAAATCCATTACTTCAGTTATATTTTTATTTTGCGCATTATTTTAGTTTATAAATGGCCAGTGCTATACTATCTGACTCCAAAGAGGAGTAGGAATAAGGTGCAATGCTTGGCCCATTAGGAGACGTGTCAAAATCTTAATATTGTTTTTATTATTTTTTAATTCATAGTTCATCTTCGTTATATTTTATGGATAATACAGGTTATATTTTTATTGACACGATTTATTTAAAGCTATATTTTATTCAAAGCAGTACAATAGAGAGCAGTTTGATTTGACAATTTAAATTGTTATTAGGAAATGAGACACGGGTTAGAATGTTTAGTTCATTATTATTATTATCGATAAACATTTTCACCTTTTTTATTTATGTTCCCATAAATTCAATAAGGTCGTTTCGTTTTTTGGCTTTATTTTGTCTTTGAAAGTTGTATTATAATGCGTTGTAACTACACCACATAATATATTTTTCCTTCACTCACATTCTTACGTCATGATACGAACGTCTGTCACGACTAAAAGCTATTGCAAAGTTGGAAAACCGCTCTTGTAACGAAGAAATAAACACTTTTTTAGATTGAGTTGCTATTATGGTACGAAAAACATTAAAGAAACCTCATAATAAGATCGTTGGCACAACTGTAAGTAGTAGCTCTTTCCTTGTCGGACATGTGTTTTATCTAAGAGTAGGACAGAGACAGATAGAAGGACTCCATAATACTTAAAAACCAGTGATTTTATTATTATATAGTAATACAGTCGTGACGTCATAATCATAATTATCGTTCCATTATTAATATTTATTTGCTTTTAAAACATGCACCAAGTGCCTGTCCTATATAAAGGCATTACCTTCTAAGCAGCTTCATAAGGGTGACAAGTACAACTCTAGGTTAATAGAAAACAACAATATAAAACAAACGAAAAAAAATGCTAAGACATCTCGTAAAAGCCTTATAACTTAAACGCCAATCAAAAATGAACTCAAAAGGTCTTCATTTCGTTGTTTTTTAGATGCTCTATGTTGTAGGGTCACAGAGCTTAAAGTCACAGAGAAAGCGTGAGATTAAGAACTCTATTTCATTAGGATAGATATCAATGTTGTACGAGCAGGATGCGCAACCAATAAAAATAAGTCATTCAGTTGTATGAAGGGTATTTCACCTAGTGTCAACTTACGGCTGAAATTCATCGACATTCGACAATAAGTTGGTTGCGTAATATGAATTATCATCATTATCATTTTGTATGGGAATAGAATTACTATTCCCATACAAAATCTGTAGATTAAGATCGATTTTGATAGAAACTTCATATAGCTAATTATTGTCAAACATCGATCCTTTTTGCGCACAGAGTTGTGCAACCAACTTGTTCCCGACGGCCAAATCTTTTTTTGTCTGGTGTCTACCAGACCAAACACTAGGACTGTCTCTGTAGATGCCATAGTTGTGGAATGAATCGTACAATAGTGGTGTCTTAATACCCACACTAGAAATTGTAAAAAATATTACTCGCCAAAGTATAAATACCGTCATACACTTTGTTATTTCTTGACCTTTTTGTTAATACAACCATCATACAGATTTATTGTACCTTTACATGTTATTTCAGGAACTATTTCATTTAAAATAATGAAATAGTTCCTGAAATGACATGTTTTTGATTGGTGTTTTAGTTTTTTGGTAAAACATTTAATTACTTAATTAATTATTCCTTTTTTGACGTAAATGATAGTAAAACTGTTGAGATTTAAATATTATTTCATTTTTTACTTAATTTAATTTAGTTCCTATGTTTAGGTTCGGTTTTGGACGTAAATTCAAACATTGCTTAATGCATGTTAGTGGTTATAGTATTAGATCTCTCGTATGTTTAAATTGATAGTAACGTTGAGGCTGTTTGTTTAGGCATGTGTTTGCGCATTCAGAATTATTAAATTCAAGAAAATTTTGCCATTAGAAATACCACAGACCACAAAACGTAAATTCGTTTTATTGAAAACTGAAACAATATTTAGTGAAAGACTGCAATTTGATAATCCAGTATGATATAAGACTTGATAATTCCAGTACCAATTAATTTGAATGGAAATTCTGAACATGCGCATAATACATAGGTGACATGCAATGTTAGAGTAATCCAGGAATAGCGACCTACACGCTGAGATTTTAATAGTGGTTTTTGTGTAGCAGTTTTTTTCTGTAAGAAAAAGAAAATAAAGAACAGAATGAAGTAAACTGTGTTAACACTGAGCATGAATGTATTTTATTTTAAACTTTGTTCTTATTCTAGACAGGGTGCTGTTTAGTTAGAATCGATAGTAAGTTACTGTTTTAAAATTGGTTTTACGCTAAAACTAACATTAAAATATCAGCCTGTATTATGTCTGATTGTTCGATCTTTAATATCATGCGAAGTTTTAATGCTAAATAGTAATCTTGATAAAATTCTAGTTTAGATAGCATTTTCTTTGCCTTTAACCATCTTCGTTATTTAGTATCAATAATTTCCAATATTCTCGTGTATTCGGCATTTCAATTGTTAATTATTATCAGTAGTACCTACGTAGTTTAATTTTTAACAAATTAATGTTATTATGAGCGTTTAGTAATTATGTCATGAAAACTATACTTATGCTACTTGCACTGCTCGTTAACAAAAGTGTAAATTGTGTACATAATATCATATTGTAACTACCCATAAACACGTCTATACTAATAATGTTATAAAAATATTTGTTTGTTTGCATTTTTTGGCTCCGAATCAGTTGAACCGACCTCATTTTGTTTTTTGTCATTAAAACTCACCTTTCGGGCAGTAGAGCCTTTTATCGCAATATGTTGGGGTCTGTTTTAAAACAAATCTTACGGGTGAAATTTCAGGAAAAAGCTAGTTATAAAATACTTGTGATAGAGTAGTTATGTCACTGTTTACATTTCAATTTGCGTTTGGGTTCCGGTTGTGACTCGTAGCAATATAGAAATTAAGTATTATCTTACTATTATTATTATAAAGTTCAATTTTACGTAGTTACATTTATGTATATCGAAGCAACACGATTTCACTTTTATTTTATGATGTAATTAATGTTCTAACAAAATGGTGTCCTTTAAGGACTAGTTTAAGATTAGATTTAATTTATTTCACTTTGTATTTATAAATAAAGTTGGAAAAATACAATATTCTATTTTACTGTACCTACTTACCTACTAATGTGTCTGTCCCTAACCTTCCTGTTTGTTATTTACAGTAAGATGTCACAGGATTTCAACGTAATGTCACTGTTCACTCTTGGACTATCCATAAA